CTCCTCTCCTCTCCTCTCCTCTCCTCTCCTCTCCTCTCCTCTCCTCTCCTCTCCTCTCCTCTCCTCTCCTCTCCTCTCCTCTCCTCTCCTCTCATCTCCTCTCCTCTCCTCTCCTCTCCTCTCGCCTCTCCTCTCCTCTCCTCCTCATATCACTTGTCTAACTGGGTTTTAATTAGGGTTACATCTCCAATGATTGTATAGAAACATGACGCAGATTGAACACAGCGCGAACTGAACTATGCAAGTGATGTCATCCAAGTAGGTCAGATCAAGCATACATGGAAATAATCAGGGAACCCAGACCTAGGTGCTAGCAAAGAGCAGCAAGGTTAAGTTTCTGAAAATAAAGTTTAAAGGTTAGGGAGTAGCAAAGGGTCAAAGTAGCGGATTTTCAAATCTGACCTTTTTCTCTGGCAAGTGCTAGCAGCCCCAACCTGCCCCTTCTTCATAACTAGAGGTAAGAAACTGTGCTTTTTTTTTTTCTTTCAGGAAAACATCAAAAGACTCAAGGTTGGTTTCTCCACACACACCAAAAATAGCAGTTCTCTTTTAGCGGTGTGACTGCCAAAATCACAAACTTTCAACTTTCAAAAATATATTTTCTGGTATTCAGCATTAAGAAAAGGTTCTCATTGTGAGAACGGCCAGATTCAGAAAGGCAAATTATAGCTTCTTCAATGTCAGTGATGGTTTGAAGTTCTCCCAGCAGCACTAATCCATCCATGTACCCTGCAGAAAGTGCACTGGGCTTGAGAGGAAACCAAAATCTAAAACTGTCTCCAACGTTCAAGCACAAACACAGGCTGGGCAGAGAATGGATTGAGAGCAACCCTGAGGAGAAGGACCTGGGGGTGTTGGCTGACAAGAAACTTGACCTGAGCTGACAATGTGCACTTTCAGCCCAGAGACTGTATAAGGGGCTGCATCAAAAGAAGAGTGGCCAGCAAGGTGAGGGAGGTGATTCTCTGCCTCTGCTCTGTCCTCATGAGATCCCACCTAGAGCTCTACATTCAGCTCTGGGGCCTCCAGCACAAGAAGAACATGGAAGTATTAGAAAGAGTCCAGTGGAGGGCCATGAGGATGATCAAGGAGCTGAGTACCTTTCCTATGAAAACAAGCTGAGGAACTGGGGGTTGTTCTGCCTGGAGAAGAGAAGGCTCTCAGGAGACCTTATAGTGTCCTTCCAGTACCTAAAGGGGGCCTGCAGGAGAGGGACTCTTTTTCAGGAAGTGTAGCAATAGGACAAGGAGTGATGGCTTTGCACTAAAAGAGGGTAGATTTAGATTAGATATTTGGAAAAAAAAAAAAAAAAAAATCTCAGAGGGTGGTGAGGCACTGGGACAGGTTGCCCAAAGAAGCTGTGGATGCCCCAAGCCTAGCAGTTTTCAAGTCCACTCTGGATGGGGCTTTGGACAACCTGGTCTAGTGGGAGGTGTCCCTGCCCATGGCAGGGGGTGTGGAATTAGATGGTCTTTAAAGTCATTTCCAACCCAAACCATTCTGTGATTTTCCTCACAGGGATGACGTAAGGCTGCATCCTGCCTAGCCTACACCTCCTGCAAATGAGTCTTACAGAAAAGGCATGGATGATCCAATATCCTGGCTGGTACTGGCTCCCGGGGCTTAGTCGGTGGTACCTGAGACAGCATCTCTGATGTTGCTCTTTGCATTAAAAAATCTTGCAAATAGGGTCAGGACTGCTCACATACAGCAGGAGAGATTACTCCAGCCACTGCTTGCCTCTGGGTGGAAGCAGTTGGTAGGGACAGGACCTCCATGCTGATAGGTTTCTCTGAAGGCTGTGGCCAGCCCTTTCCCTCCCACACTGCCCAACACTGAAGTGAAACCAAGCAAGCCAGGAGCAGGCTACCACCTTCATGAAGAAAAGAAGTTTGCCAAATGGGATAATCACTACAAGCCCTAATGGGAAGGCATCAAATCAGGTTGACTCACACACATCCTCAACAGATCTTCCTTGGAAACAGAAAAGACTTCTGTTGTACTCTGCTGTTAATGATAGCCCTAGTTAAGAGCATTACTCATTATCATAGTGTGTATTTCTAGTGTAACATGAATATGTGTGGAATGAATACAGCCTGAATGACAATTGCAACGTGAAGAAATATCTCTGCTTTCCATCTTCTACCTCTGTTCACCCTCTGGCACTCAAGGCACAGCTCAGAGATAAAGTCTGAGAAAGCTCCTGGGAAGACTTTTATTTGGGGAAAAAGCTGGGAAGAAACAGACATTGCAACCCTCATAACTAGAGAGATTTTCCTGGAAGGGCTAGCTGGAGCACACTGTCTTCCATCTACAAGGCACAGGAAGGTGCCTGACAGTGGTGGCTTTCTGGAGAAAGGGGCTGTCTCAGCTCTTGAGGGCAGGGCTTCCCTGAGGTGCCCTGGGCATTGCCTGGGGAAACCAGGGGAACTGACGCCCTCCTCACTCCCAGTGCCGCAGCACCGGAACAAGGATTTGGCATTGCATCAATGGCCCTTGAGGATTTAATTCCTTGTAAATAAGAAGAAAAAGGGCTACTGTGGAGAGTACAGTGTCTACATGGACACTGAACATAAGGGAACAAAAATGTCCATGCAAACTTGCAAGCATCCGAACCTTGGTGATAAATAGCATATGGTTCAAAGTCTCACAGAAATGGATACAGCCCTGTTTTGACCTTGACTGTGAAAAGCACTGCCAGGGGTGTTTTGTTCCTCCAACTAAATTTGACTTTAAACCATGACATGTTTGGTTTCCACTTTGAAGACACAGTAAAAGCATCTCTGAATGATTGCTCTGAGGAGTGAACTTCACACACACCTCACACACAATCCGATTTCCGTGCCTTGCCTCTGCAGGAGAGCCCAGCAGAGGGAGCCTCGTTCCCCCATGTCGCTGCCCTGCAGAGACACAAGGAGACTACTCGGCTTGGGGGCTTCCTAACCACCGGCAGGAAGCACAGATATTCTTCTTCATTCGAAAGATGGAGAGGCAGAAATTTCCCTGAAGGGAAGAGCCACAGAAAGCTGACACACTTGCACTCAAAACTTGCACACTTTCTGCAAGCAGAAGGAGTGTGGCCCAAAACAGGAATTGGACATGAAGAGGAACATGTATCCCCACATCAGACACCAAGGGGATAAGAGCATTGAAACAGATTGATGTGAAACCTCTTGCTCATGCCTTGGTGACCATAGCTGTGCTCCTGAGCTGATCACTAGCCTCCAGCTGCCGGGGGGGGGGGGGGGGGACAGTGCGCTACTGACCTGTGAAGGTGATGGAGGCCTGGCCACGCCTCTGGAGAGGTTGTCCTCATCCCTGGGACAGTTGCTGTGACACGTGTGACACAAACTTCAGGTTCTACCAGAGTAATACCCCATCAGTGGAGAGCATTGCCAAAGCTTGTGCTGCTTGTGGGTGTTGGCTGCAAAGCTGACAGACCCAAAATAATGATCAGTTGAGCCATCAGCTGGGCCGTCACATCCCTTCTCTGCTGGGCTCACCCAGGTGGAGGAACAGGTTCACAGGATTCACAGCTGCAATTCATCAACTTCTCATTCAGAATACTGCAAAGATAAAATTCCTTTCCCTGTCTTGCCTTCCTTTCCTCCCTTTCTCCATTCCTCATGTTGCTCAGGACACCTGTGAGGCAGAGCTGAAGGCTGATGGGTGCCCTCGTACTCAGCACCTCTGGAGACAGGCTCTGGTGTGGACACTGAGGACCAATGGTGCTACACAGAACCCAGAGAAAGCAGCTGCTATGAGCAAGGGGAGAATGAATGCAGCTACCTTGGACAGAAACCCAGGGAGGCCACCCAGCCTTGCTCTCTGCTCTCTCCCTGCTTCCACAGCTGAGTTGCTGGGGCCAAGACCTGTTTCCTCAATCACCTTTCATGCAGAAAAGCACTGCTTTGTGCCAGTGACTTGGAAAATGCTTACTGATGTCTGTGACTTGTTGCTTCGCCAGGTGCTACGCTGAAGGCTGATGCTGAACGAAGCACAGCCTCTACAGATTCCTGTTGGTAGATGCTCAGCATGTCTGTGTCCTTTCCTCTGCTTGTCCCTGTGCTCACCTGTGCACATGCTGCTCTCTCATCTGCAGCCAGAGATCAAGGTTTTCTGCTGGAGCTCTTTTCTGAGCCAAGCCACTGATTTCCATTGCCCCCTTGCTTCCCTTTGGTCCTGTCCTCCTCGCCTCAGGACTGTGCACCAGTGAGCCCAGAGAGCAGGCACAAGAGGCATCATTTCAGCAGCTCTGCTACAAAAGATCTAGGAAACTCTGCCCATAAGCCCTGAACAGGGGGTTATGCATAGACATTTTTTCTAATGCTGCCCAGATCCATGCAGAAAGGATCCCCCTCTTGAAAACGGCCAAAACCCTATCTGCTGATCGGCCAAGACCTGCTCAGCCTTTGACATGGACTGGATACTGTTTTGGGAGATTGGTACTAAATGGGCATTTCCCCTCAGATCATGATTGATCACATTTTCTGAAACAGCCTCCACAGCAGCCAGTCAGTAAGCTCAGCATCAATGTTCAGCTTCAGGAATGAGCGAGGCTGATCCTCCATGGCAGCCACCATGCTTCAGAGAGGACTGTCATGTCTTTGAAATTCAGAGAAGCCTATTCACGCCGTGATGGTCTTGGTGCTGGCTTAGAGAGGGTGCTGTTAGGAAATGGAGAGGTGTGCAGAGACCTGCCCTGCTCCACTCTGTTCTTAATTTGCTACCTCTCTTTGGCAAAGCCAGAGCACAGGCTTTGCTTCACCTCTGCAGTTTGTTTCACATGTGAGTACCACACCTTGGCACCACGCTCACATTTGTTAGAAAGATCACCTTTATCTTGAAGCAATGGTTAGGCTTTGAGGAGTGATTATCCTTGCTGCTCTTCATCAGTTAACAGCCTGTTGTTTTTTGTTGTTGTTGTTTTTTTTTGTTTGTTTGTTTTGTTTGTTTGTTTTTCTGTAGAGGAAAGAGCACCACTGGCCTTGTTCAGAAGCCCTCCTGTACCTGCAGGATCCTCAAGTACAGGAATGAATAACTGGGCAGCAAACAGTAGCAGGTGTGACATCAAGACCTCAGCTGGTTGTGGTGCCTGAGTGCCCTTTTCTTTCAAAACTCATGTTTTACCTTCTGCAAACCAAAGCATATGGATGGAGGATTACAGAGACACTGAGCATCCTTGGAGAGTGCCAGCTGAAGAAAAGGTGTGTGAATAAACGTCTTTGTGATGTCTGCATATTAATGTCAGTGGGAAGTGTGTCTGGATGTCAGGGCATGGTGAGGAAAAATAGGTTTAATGAGGTGTCTTGTCCTGCATGGGGTCTGATGCATCTGTTCATGCAGAGTTACAGTAGCACTCTCTGACTGCATCAAATAGCCAAAAAGCACATTGTACCCAGGCAGCAAGTCCTTGCCAGCTCTGAGATAAGAGTGGTGTTGGCTACAGACAACACCTCAGCAGATGCATGAGTCAGCAGAGTCTGTTGGAACCCAAAATATGACACCATTACTCTGAATGGGGATTTCTGTGACGCAGCTCTGTACATTTTGGCATTATAGCTGAGTGAACAGAAACATAGATTTATGCAAAAGTAAGTTCACGTAAAAAGTTGTGTATCAGAACTGGCATGGTTCATCACAACTTTGCTGTGGCCAGCATTTTTTGGCCAAACTGCAAAGCATATGTCCAGGAATAGCTCTGATATGAATGTTAACAAAAAAATGTGTGCCAGTCTGCATTTCACAGTTACAATGGACTTCTTCAGACCAAGGATATTTTAGAATAGACCTTCTATTTCCCAAACTTTTTTTTTTTTTTTTTTTTTTTACATTTGGACAGAATAGTTCAAGTCACTTTTTTTTTTTCCTTTTTATTTATTTATTTATTTTTCTGTTGTGATCTATTCTGGATCTCATAGAATCATAGAATCTTAGAATATCCCAAGTTGGAAGGGACCCATAAGGATCATCTAGTCCAACTCCTAGCACCACACTGTTCTACCCAAAAATTCAGACCATATGACTAAGTGCACAGTCCAACCACTTCTTAAACTCTGACAGGCTTGGTGCTGTGACTATCTCCACTGGGGAGCCTGTTCCAGTGTGTGACAACTCTCTCAGTGAAGAACCTCTTCCTCATAACCGGCCTGAAAGTCTCCTGCCTCAGTTTAACACCATTCCCGCAGGTCCTATCACTGGTGTTTACAGAGAATAGGTCACCTGCCTCTCCACTCCCCATCATGAGGAAGTTGTATACAGCAATGAGGTCCCCCCTCAGCCTCCTCTTCTCCAGGCTGAACAGGCCCAGTGCCCTCAGCCGCTCCTCATACGTCTTCCCCTCCAGGCCTTTCACCATCTTCATAGCCCTCCTCTGGACACTCTCCAACAGTTTCATGTCCTTTTTATACTGTGGTGCCCAGAACTGCGCACAGTACTCGAGGTGAGGCCGCACCAGCGCAGAGTAGAGCGGGACAATCACCTCCCTCGACCTACTAGCGATGCCGTGCTTGATGCACCCCAGGATACAGTTGGCCCTCCTGGCTGCCAGGCCACACTGCTGGCTCATATTCAACTTGCTGTCAACCACAACCCCCAGATCCCTCTCTGCAGGGCTGCTCTCCAGCGTCTCATTGCCCAGTCTATACGTATAGCCAGGGTTGCCCTGTCCCAGGTGCAGGACCCGGCACTTGCTCTTGTTAAACTTCATGAGGCTGGTGATTGCCCAGGATTCCAATCCGTCCCGGTCTCTCTGCAAGGCCTTTCCACCCTCATCAGAGTCCACAACTCCTCCTAGTTTGGTGTTGTCGGCAAATTTGCTCAAATCACCTTCCAGTCCTACATCCAAATCATTGATAAAGACATTGAAGAGGACTGGCCCTAAAATGGAGCCTTGAGGTACCCTACTAGTGACCATCCACCAGCCAGATGTGGCCCCATTAACCACAACCCTTTGAGCCCTGCCCGTCAGCCAATTGCTCACCCATTGTATGATGATTTTGTTAAGTTGTATGCTGGACATTTTGTCCAGCAGGATCCTATGGGAAACCATGTCAAAAGCCTTGCTGAAGTCCAAAAAGGTCACATCAGCTGGTTTCCCTTGGTCAACTAGATGGGTGATCTTGTCATAGAAGGAAATCAAATTTGTTAGGCAGGACCTACCCCTCATGAACCCATGTTGGCTGGGACCAATGACTGCATTGTCCCCCAGGTGCGCCTCAATAACTTCAAGAATCACCTTCTCCATAATTTTACCAGGCACTGACGTGAGACTGACAGGCCTGTAATTGCCAGGGTCTTCTTTCTTACCCTTCTTGAAAATTGGCACATTTGCCAGCTTCCAGTCTACTGGCACCTCTCCAGATTCTCAAGGTCATTGAAAAATAATTGAGAGAGGTCCCACGATGACTCCAGCCAGCTCTCCAAGCACCCTGGGATGGATCCCATCCGGACCCATGGACTTGTATGGATCCAGGTGGAGCAGCAAATCCCGCACATGTTCAAGGTCTGTTCAGAGTTTATCATTTCCACTGTCACAGTCCTCTATCTCATGGAGCTCTGGGTCCTGAAGCCTATCAGCGGTGTTCAAGACAAAGGTGACAAAGGCATTAAACATCTCTGCTTTACCTATGTCCTTGTTTGGAAGGCGACCATCCCAGAATAATTAGTAATTTCATTGTGTTTCACTACTGGTAGACTAAAGCAGCACTTTCAAAGGGATGAAAATAACACAGGATTATCCTGGGCAAGACCCAGTTACTGGGGTATTCTGAGTTTTCTGTGGTCATGAAGATACATTCCTGTGCAGGAGCATCTTTCAGCCAAGAGAGGTGTGTCACACAAATAAATGCCTCTCATTAAAATTTCTTTTTTTTTCTCATGTTTTTACCAGTTCTGATCTCTGGACATACATGGATATTATCACAGCAAAAAGGAGGCAAAGCAGCACTTCTGGCTGGCGAAGGTGTCCAGAAAGGAGTGTTTCTGAGACTTTCCCATACTGTCTGGGAGCTATTCCACTAGATACGTGTCTCAAGGGCAAATGATGTGACCCCTCAGACTGAACTTTCCTTTGGGGTTGATACCTCCTAAGAAAATTGAAATCATTTGCAATAATAATTGCAAAACACAGGGCTGTACATCTCCTCCACAAATCCAGGAGCAGCAGCATGTCTTCCTCTTTTCCTCTTTCCTGGTGACTTGGAGCTACCACTGAGAAAGGGGCACCTGCTGAGAGACATGGGCAACTTGCAGACGTGTGGGGAAAATTGCAGATCTCTTCCAATGACGTTTCTACCTCTGCTGACTAAAGCACTGTTTCAAGCTGAAGCTGAGGTTGCTGGTTTTGTATGACAATCATCTAAAGAAACCAACCTCATTGGCTTGTGGTCAGCATGGGTCTTTATTGCAATACACAGGTAAAGAATAAAGGAAGAGGCAATTTTCGACTGTCTGCTGTTAGAGTGAAGACCTTGTCAGTGACTAGGCATTGAAACATAAGTGTGTATACTCAAGTATACATAAGTGTGTATATTCAAGTCTCAGGTGTCTATAATCTACAGAGGCATTGATTTTGGTATTTCTTCCTACACAGAGACTGCAGGTGACAGCCTGGGGAGCCTGCTGTCCGGCGGAGACCTGGAGGACTTGCTGGTGAGTTGCTCCCTGGCTGCTGCCCTGCGAGCTGAGCCCTGGGGCACACCTGAGGGGCCCAGGTTTGTGACTGGGATGTGTGGGGCTTTGCTACTGGGAGAGGCCATGCTGGTGGGGACAGTGAGGGTGTGGTCACAGTTCCCAGAAAGCTGCGTGTGTGAAAGCATCTCCCACTGAACAGGTTGCATGTGTCAGGGCTGACTGTCCCCTGGGGCAGGGCTGGCCCTAGGAGTGTCCAGGGGGTTCCCTGTGCTGGGGATGTGCCCTCACCGCTCTTGCTGCACTGGGCTGGCCATGGTAGTTGTGGCTGTGGGGGCTTTGAAGCCATCGGCACCCATCCATCCCCATTAGCCATGCAAAGGCCTTAACAAAATACAGAATTGAGCCCCAAAACCTCTACTGGGGCTCTCAGCACCCTGGCTTTGCCCATTTGGTTGCTGGTTTGGTGATGCTTCCTGGGTCTCTCACACCACCTGCTCAGTGGCATGGGGCAGGCATAGGGCTGGGCTGGGCACCCCCAAGGAGCTGTGAGGGGATGCTGGTACCCCCTCCCCGCCCCGGCTTACCACAGCATTTCTGCCCTTGCCCCTCTGGTGCAAGAGCCTCACCCCTGCAGGGCAGGACTGGCCACATATGTTCCTTCCTCTTTTCATCCTCTGACTTGGACACAGTGGTTTGTTCCAGCTGCATGCTGTGGATGTGCACTAACTCCACAGGGGCTTTCGGTCAGGGCAATCATACAGCTCTAGCTTTCTGCAAGCATGTGCAGGAGAGAGGAACTTCTTTTCCAGATATTTCTCCATCCTTGTTTTCATGGAAGCAGGAAAAGCAATGCTATGATTTTCAGAATAGGAAGTTTATGTGAATGTGAAAGAATGCGTAGAAAAGAATTATCCTGAGACTGTCAGCTGCCAGAAAGTTTGGTTGGTTTCCTTCTGTACATGCAGCTCATGATGTAGTCCCCTATATGGGGTGACAGTATGGCACTGGAAGCAGCAGTGAGCTGCTTTTGCTTGCTGCTATTGTACTTTTTTTGCCTGGCCTTATCTCTGTGTATCTAAATTATATCCTCTTGCAAAAGCTTAGTTCAGACTAACATTAGACAGTTTTTAGGCTTATTAACTGATTAAGTTATTTATTCCGAATAGGTTCCTCTCACTATGGATTACCTTTCAACAACTCTTAACTCCTCTCCATTGTATAATATCTACAACTCATTTCACAGGACAACAGATGCCATGTCACCAGCACCAAATTCCTCTTCAAATTATTATGAGGACTACTACTATCCTGAAATGGCTTCCACTTGCACCACAGAACATAGTAAATACTTTACATCTATGTTTTTTCCAGTGCTGTACACTGTGTTGTTTGTTACCGGCCTTGTGGGAAATGCTTTGGTCGTTTGGGTCCTATTGGCCTTCAAGAAAGTCAGGGCCATGACTGACATCTATCTGCTGAACCTTGCCATCTCTGACCTCCTCTTTGTCTTCTCTCTCCCCTTCTTGGTTCAGTACTCCCTGGTGAGCCAGTGGACTTTTGGCAATGCCATGTGTAAAATTGTCAGCTCAGCTTACTTCATTGGTTTCTACAGCAGCTCCTTCTTCATAACCATCATGAGCATCGACAGGTACTTGGCCATTGTGCGGTCTGTGTATGCTCTCTGCGCGGTGCGCACGTCCGCCCACGGGGTCATCGCAAGCCTGGCCCTTTGGGCAGTCGCCATTTTAGCATCAGCGCCAGACCTCATTTTCTTCCAGGAAATGGATGACAGCAACAGGACCGTGTGCCTGCCTCACTATCCTGGTAGTGACAACAGCTGGAAGATTTTCAGCAATTTTGAAGTCAATGTCCTGGGGTGGCTGATCCCGGTGGGCATCCTCATTTTCTGCTATCACAACATCTTGAAAAACCTGCAACGGTGTCACACTCGCAACAAGTATAAAGCAATGAAGCTGGTTTTCATTGTCGTCACGGTGTTCTTCCTTTTCTGGACCCCCGTCAATGTCGTGCTCTTCCTGGACTCCATGAGGAGCATGCACATCATCGACGACTGCCAGGCAAGCCAAAAGCTCGACCTAGCCCTGGAGCTGGCTGAGGCGCTCTCCTTCGTCCACTGCTGCCTCAACCCCATCATCTACGCCTTTGTGGGCGAGAAGTTCAAGAAGTATCTCTGCGAGGCTTTTGGCAAATATGCACGTTTTCTCTTGACCTGCAACAACTACAGTGTGTTCCACAGGCACAAACTGGACAGGCAGTCCTCTGTGCACATGGGGTCCTCGCAGTCATCTTTTGTAGGTAGTGTCTTGTAGAGCTGCAAGACAAAAGCTCCCATACTTCATGCATGACTTGAAGTTGAGCAGTCCTCCCGGTGATTCAGTTAATAAGTCTTCTTGTTGCCTTAGTGTAGGAGGTTTAGGTGCAGTGGCCCATTACCAAATTGTGACTAGGAAATCCCGCAATCCTAGAGCAAGCTGCAGTGCACCTTGCTCCATGATATGCTGTAATACCATTCTGAGCAGATACCTGCATGGATGCAATTCTTCTGAAATACTTCTCTGTTGTTAGGAAATGTGAATGAGAGCTTCATACACTGAAATTAATCTGACAGTGATGTAGTTTTTGTGGTTTTCATGTTGCTTTGGGAAGTGGGTTTCAGCATAATGCTAGAGAAAGCCAGATATGGACTGTTTTCATACTCCGTGATGCCATTTTAGGTCTTACTGGATGGTGGATCATCCTTATCTGTGAGATGTCTACCTATCCTCAGTGTTCTTTTCTACCTAACTGTTCTTTAAGGCTCCTTTCAACCCCAAACATTCTGTGGTCTTCCCAGTGCTAAAGAGGCAGTCTTACAGCTCAAATTTGAAATATGTTGAGTAATCTGCCTTTTCCCTCCTGAAAAAGTTTCCTAGATCTAGCAGCAGTGTCCTCATCTATTCAGACTTTTGCTGTGCAGAGCATAGGTGGAGGCATTAGACAAAGACTCTGCCTTTCTAACAGAGACCGTTAACCTGTCAGAGGCGGGATGCTGATAAAGCAATATATGCATGCAGCCATATATATATGTGTGTATATATATATATATATATGTATATGTATTTGTACTTCTGAGAGTCTGTCCCTGAAATGCAGAGAGACATAATGGATGGAAAGACAGTTGAGACATGCACATGAGAGTAATGTATAACTTTCCCTGCCATTTTCCCTTTTTATGAACAGAATGTAATACTCCTTTTCAGGAAAATCTTTCTACCACTTGGCTGCCTCTTTCTAGGACGAAAGTATCTCCAGGAGTAAGGGTGACATGGCTTGAGGTGAAGTGGGTGCAGAGCACACACCGAAACTCACAGCCACCTTCTAGATGAGATGTAATTTGGTTAGCATACTCTCACCATGTTTATCACCATGCGCCTTCCCTGCCACTCCTGTAAGAGAGAGGTTGAGTTCCTCTAATTTGGAAAACATTACAGACATACCATGAATATACAGGAAGGCACAGTGGGTCGTTAAGATCAGCCTCTTGCACAGAAGCCTGTAAAGAGAGTAACATTGTGTATATGCACATTTCCTCCAGGAACAGAGCTTTTATCCACTTCACTCCTTTGTATTCTGCATTTTACAAACACCACCAGTGAATCAAAAGAATATATATATATATATATATATATTAGGTTTAAATTTGAACATGAATATCTATTACTTTTGTGTCTGTTTTAAGATTACACACTGAAGCCAGAATGGGAGAACACCTGACTATTTAATGTGCTACTGTCATTGTGACTTCCCTTTAACCTGTGTCATCTCAGCAAAAAGAAAGATAATGATTGGGATGCAAAGCTAAGTATCAGACGTGAGGGGGACCAATATTAAAATTGTGGTAGGCACCTTTTAAGCAAAGGTGTGACCATAAATAAAGTCTGTGCAGAATGGCCCAGCCCCTGGCAGTTGGGTGCTTTTCTTGGGACAAGCAGCTGTTGGAACAGATGCCTACAATTTGGCATCATCCTCAAGCTGCCTGGACTTAGGGCTCCAACTTGAGCAGATGCAGATAGATGCTTCCTGCTCTCCTGTGCTCCCAGTGCCCCACAAACAACAGCAGGGCAGAAGACACTCCACAGCTTGTCCCATCAGAAAAAGAAGAGGAGCTCTGAGACCTGTAGGTGACATGGGGCAGGTCCTGCTGGCTGCACAGCCTCCGGATGTGGGTCTCACCTCCTCCCCCTTCCCAGCAAGGCAGCAGCAACAGTTTGAAGCATCTGGGCTGCAAGGAGGTGCTGAGGTTGGCCCAGCTCAGGCTCCTGATGCAGCTGCTGCAGAGGAGGAAGGCAGCAGCCCCAGGCAGGAAATCCTTCATGCTGCAGAAAACACCTATTGCCTCCTCAGGAGAAGGCTTTGAAAATGGGACTGAGGCAGCAGCAAAAGGAAGATGCCCTTTAAATGCTACTGAGAACTAGGAAAGTGAAAGGCTTTGAAAAGAAGTCCCTTTTCTCACGTTCAACTTTATTTCTAAATGCATAAAATATGAAAATACGCACTTGAACTTTTCTGTTGTAAGACTGTGCTGAAGAACATGTCTATTAAAACAGCAGAACAGTGAAAGCAGCGGGAAAAATTGTCATGTCTCACACAGAATCACAGAATTGTCTAGGTTGAAAGAGCCCTCCAAGATCACCTAGTTCAACCTCTGACCTAATACTATCAAGTTCTCCACTAAAATATATCACTAAGCTCTACATCTAAGCGTCTTTTAAAGACCTCCAGGGATGGTGACTCCACCACTTCCCTGGGCAGCCCATTCCAATGCCTAACAACCCTCTCAGTAAAGAAGTTCTTCCTAATATCCAACCTAAACCTCCCCTGGTGCAACTTAAGCCCATTCCCCCTCGTCCTGTCACCAGGCACGTGGGAGAACAGACCAACCCCCACCTCGCTACAGCCTCCTTTAAGGTATCTGTAAAGAGCAATAAGGTCGCCCCTGAGCCTCCTTTTCTCCAGGCTGAACAAGCCCAGCTCCTTCAGCCGCTCCTCGTAGGACTTGTTCTCCAGACCCCTCACAAGCTTTGTTGCCCTTCTCTGGACCCGCTCAAGCACCTTGATGTCCTTCTTGTAGCGAGGGGTCCAAAACTGAACACAGTACTTGAGGTGCGGCCTCACCAGAGCCGAGTACCGGGGGACGATCACCTCCCCAGCCCTGCTGGTCATACTGTTTCTTATGCAAGCCAGGATGCTGTTGGCCTTCTTGGCCACCTGAGCACACTGCTGGCTCCTATTCAGCCGACTATCAACCAATACTCCCAGGTCCTTCTCTGCCAGGCAGCTCTCCAACCACTCATCTCCCAGCCTGTAGCTCTGCTTGGGGTTGTTGTACCCCAGGTGCAGGACCCGGCACTTGGCCTTGTTGAACTTCATGCAGTCTCGGGTATAACAAACTGAGGAGACCTGGCCATGGGGAGGGGGGGGACGGGGGGGAAAACGGAGGGAGCAGAGGAGCAGAAACACGATCCCAATCCCAAAGGTTTCCTCACAGCAAGCATCCTTCCAAGGCTGAGGATAAGGAGCTGTATGCGTGCAATGAGACACTGAGCCAGCGAAGCATTCCCTTTTCAAAACACCAAGAGTTTTGGTGAGAGCTGATCCTATAATACTTGTCATCTGCCAGCTCCCCCACACAGCATAACATCTTCTCAACTCAGTTGCTGGTGTCCTCAAGCATTACACCTCAATTGTCATCAGAAATTAAAATTTTAAATACAGAAAAATGAGCCCACTTATGCTAGACTGTGACACACGCAGCTAGGGAGGATGCTTTCCAAGAGGAGCAAAGTGAACCAGCTCACCCTGATGAGGACAGGTTGTTGGAGGAAGCAAAGGTATTTTGGATGCTTGAGTTCTTTCAGCACTCATGTGTCTCACTTGAGATTATTCTTAACACCCTTTACCATTAATGAAGTAACAGGAACTAGAGATTTCTTGAGTCCCTGTGGTACATTTTTGTCACAGGATGACACAAATGACTGAGAGTAACCCAAATGAATACTGCACAGATCAAAAAGTTCACTGTCACATTAGAGTATAACCCACAATTACAGCACATCCCAGAACCAAGAAAATCTGAACACTCCCCCACCACACACACCCCTGACCCTGTTGTCCTCTTCTGATGTGCTTCTGTTCTGCAGCAGAGCCTCACTGTAGGCTGTGCACATCTTATTTTGGTGACCTTGCCTAACCTACACCTCCACACAACCTTTTCAGGACTCTGTGGAGTAACACAACTCCTCAGTTTGTATTTTTGACTATTACTGGAAAATGCTCTCTGGGAGTACAGCCTAAGTACTGATCACGAATATTGCTGAGCTTCAGAAAATGCCTGATGTAGTCCAGGAGAGGTAGGAATGATTTTCTGTAAAGCTTAGAGACACATCCTTCAGAAAAAGAAAAAAAAAAAAAAAATATATATATATATATGTGTGTGTGTGTGTGTTGTTCTTCATCTAAATGTCTTGGATCCCCATTAGGCCACAGGTTAACTTGCCACTCTTGAAAAGTCTTTTAAAAGGAAATTCTCCATCCTGCATTTGCACGAGTAAGGGGTTGCTCCATGCTATCAAATTTGCTGGCCATTTCAGTCTGACTGCAAAACTTGAAATGACAGTGCAAAGAAGGTGCATTGACCTAATTTTGCAGAAAAATGGAAAAATGCAAAAAAATGTTAAGGTTTCTTCAGATTACTTTTGCATTTACTTGTGTCAGTGTGCAAAAGGGGAAGGGGAAAAAGTGGAAATGGAGGGCATGTGTTCAACAAGCCAGGAAGCTCCCCTGTGACTGCAGGGATGTTTTTTTCCAATCCATGCTGCAGTCCCTGCAGATGCCCATTCTCTGACCTCACTCTTCTCTGGGTATCACAGAGGTGATGCTGGGGAGCTGCTCTGGAGGGTTGGCAGGGTGGGAGCATAGGCAGTGAGAAGGGATGAAATAACTTTGCATTTCTTGTTATTCTGCAGTCTTGAGGGTACTCCTATTTTCCTGCAGTGAACTGGTAATGGAAATTAAATGACTGTGCCAGCTACTGGGGGAAGAGCTGTGGGGGTAACCACTGCAGTGCAAGGAAGATTTTTGTCTGCATGTCAGTAGTGCAGAATCCTCTGTTGCATCACTTCTGGAGGAAGCAAGCCATGAAATCCTACAGTAGTGTACAGACACCAATATGTACACCACTGTGGGGATGCAGAACTTGTTTCCATCTCCTGTGCTTCCAACAAGGTGCAATCTAGGGGGCTCATGCTGCAAAGTTTCAGGGGTGAGAAATTGTTGATGCTGTCCTTCTGCCCACCACCCTTTGTCTTTAACCTTAATATCTGTGAATCCTGTTCTTGGGCACATACAAAAAAAAAGCCTGGCAGCCAGGAGGGCCAACCGTGTCCTGGGGTGCATCAAGCACGGCATCGCTAGTAGGTCGAGGGAGGTGATTGTCCCGCTCTACTCTGCGCTGGTGCGGCCTCACCTCGAGTACTGTGCGCAGTTCTGGGCACCACAGTATAAAAAGGACATGAAACTGTTGGAGAGTGTCCAGAGGAGGGCTACGAAGATGGTGAAAGGCCTGGAGGGGAAGACGTACGAGGAACGGCTGAGGTCACTGGGCCTGTTCAGCCTGGAGAAGAGGAGGCTGAGGGGAGACCTCATCGCAGTCTACAACTTCCTCGTAAGGGGGTGTCGAGAGGCAGGAGACCTTTTCTCCATTAACACCAGCGACAGGACCCGCGGGAACGGGGTTAAGCTGAGGCAGGGGAAGTTTAGGCTTGACATCAGGAGGAAGTTCTTCACAGAGAGAGTGATTGCACACTGGAACAGGCTCCCCAGGGAAGTGGTCACTGCACCGAGCCTGACTGAATTTAAGAAGAGATTGGACTGTGCGCTTAGTCACATGGTCTGAACTTTTGGGTAGACCTGTGCGGTGTCAAGAGTTGGACTTGATGATCCTTAAGGGTCCCTTCCAACTCAGGATATTCTATGATTCTATGATTCTATGACCATGAGTGGTGAGGCACCTGAATGGCAGGAGCTGCACTGCAGGAGTGACATCAAGGAATCAGTTAAACGTTTTCCTTTATTCACAGTCTTTGCTTTATGATTTGTGGAATGTGTCATGGCCCACATGAAAGAACATTTGGTTTTTGCACATGCAGTGTTACCAGACTGTTCTTGGAAAAAAAAAAAAAAAAAAAAAAAAAAAAAGTATCTTGCAGATTGCAAATACTAACACACATTAAAATAATAAACCCTATCTGAAAAAGATCAGTGGCTGAACAGAATTGTCTTTTGTGTTTTGTTGGTTCTTCTCCAGGAATTAACCCCAGTATGCGTGGGGATACTGCAAGGGTAGGCTCTTATTGTGAATTAAATTGCTAGAAAAAAAAGATAATAAGATAATCTGCTCTCAGCCTCTTTTTCACAGGGAGAAGGGGAAGAGGGAGGGAGAGAGAGGAGGTAGAGAAGAGGTAGCTGGAGGGATAGTCAGTTGTGTAAAACTGCTTGGGATAGAAGAAAAAAGCATAGGCTGAAAGAATCAGTGACAGGACAAGGAAGTTCCTCAGGTTCTGGGATTGTGCAATTACACTGCATACAGTATTGTTGCGAAGCACGGACGAAAGCACGACAGACACCAGCAGAGTCAGATCATGCTTCACCATCTTTATTGCCCAAATAGCCCAACTTTTATAGTGAATTTTACAGGGGTGGACAGTGTTTCACACAAGATTATTGGTCAAAAGCACTCAGACAAACCGTTAAGAAAATAACACCACCTTTTGATTAGAAGTTAGGAAAACAACCCCCTTTGTGCTTAACGGTCACGTAGGCCTAGTCCTTGAGGCCAGCTGCTGATAACAATATTTTCTGAGTTCCTTAATTGGGTGATGTGGGAGTTATTGCCGTGGGAGCTTCTCATAGTTACTCTGGCAGCTTGGTTTGCTCAGCTACAGCAGGCCCTGAGATTTCTAAGGCCAACCCCTGGTTGCTTATGACCACGTCCTGTATGCCAATTCCCAACACAGTATCTTTATTATAAAACTCCAAATAGGGTCATACCTTGAAGGGAGAAATAGACCAGGGCCACAAACTTCAGAACATTGCATTTATCTATCAATGTTTGTGTGTGTGTATATATACATATTCGTATATACATACATATTCACACACACACACATATTTAATATATATATATATACATATATATGTGATTATATTTTATATGTACACATGTATATGTATATGCATGGTTAACCATTCACATATATATCATTCATTTGCAGTTACCAAGCTCAAACAGCAGAAGGGAATGTCTCAAGAAGCTCATATGAGTGCATCACTTGTTTAAAGTGTTCAGAAAACCCGTCTGGGTTTTAGGCAACTCTGAAGTGTCTGGCCACTCACACCAGTCTGTGCCATCTGGTTTAGATACCACCTGAGTTACAGGCTCTTGGTGTATTTCCCCATTTGTCTTCTCTCCATCCTGTTGCAGGCTTTTAGCAGAACAACCACCCCTCAGCTCATGGGTCAGGGCTGTGCTGAGAGCAACCACCTCCTTGGACACCTCCAGCACATCTCCAGGAAGTTTTTACATATGACCTTTACCAATCTCTCAGCTTACATTCGGTGTTTTCCACTCTTCGGTCTCTTTTCCTAGTAACTATTTCTCCACTCATACCCAGGGCATTCATTCATTTCCATCAGGGTTTTTTTCTTAAGACTCCCACAGTGTCATTTCTCAGCTGTGACTTTTAAACCCTTCCAGCCCAGTATCTGCAGGTCCTGGTAGCAAAGAACTTAGGC